TTACTCCTCCAATTTCTTTCTTTCTTTCTTTCTTTCTTTCTTTCTTTCCACCTCATCTTTTGTTCTTTCTTTTACTCCTCCAATTTCTTTCTTTTCTTTCTTTTTTGCTTTCTATTTTGGTCTTTCTTTTCACCTCAATCTTTCCATCTTTCTTTTACTTCTCCAATTTCTTTCTTTCTTTCTTTCTTTCTTTTCCACCTCATCTTTTGTTCTTTCTTTTACTCCTCAATTTCTTTTCTTTCTTTCTTTCTTTCTTTCTTTCTTTCTTTCTTTCTTTCTTTCCCTCATCTTTTGTTCTTTTCTTTTTCCTCCAATTTTCTTTCTTTCTTTTCTTTCTTTCTTTCTTTCTTTCTTTTTCTTTCTTTCTTTCCACCTCATCTTTTGTTCTTTTCTTTTACTCCTCAATTTCTTTCTTTCTTTCTTTTTTTTCTTTCTTTCTTTCTTTTCTTTCCACCTCATCTTTTGTTCTTTCTTTTACTCCTCCAATTTCTTTCTTTCTTTCTTTCTTTCTTTTCTTTCTTTCTTTCTTTGCACCCTTTCATCTTTTGTTCTTTCTTTTTTTACTCCTCCAATTTCTTTTCTTTCTTTCTTTCTTTCTTTCTTTCTTTTCTTTCTTTCTTTCTTTCTTTCTTTTCTTTTTCTTTTTCTTCTTTTTTTTCTTTACTCCTCCAATTTCTTTCTTTCTTTCTTTTCTTTCTTTCTTTCTTTCTTTCTTTCCACCTCATCTTTTTGTTCTTTTCTTTACTCCTCCAATTTCTTTCTTTCTTTCTTTTTTCTTTCTATTTTGGTCTTTTTTTTCACCTCAATCTTTCCATCTTTCTTTTACTTCTCCAATTTCTTTCTTTCTTTCTTTCTTTCTTTCCACCTCATCTTTTGTTCTTTCTTTTTCCTCCAATTTCTTTCTTTTCTTTCTTTCTTTTTTCTTTCTTTCTTTCTTTCTTTCTTTCTTTCTTTCTTTCCCTCATCTTTGTTCTTTCTTTTACTCCTCAATTTCTTTCTTTCTTTCTTTTTTCTTTCTTTCTTTCTTTCTTTCTTTCTTTCTTTCCACCTCATCTTTTGTTCTTTCTTTTTTCCTCAATTTCTTTCTTTCTTTTCTTTTCTTTCTTTTCTTTCTTTTCTTTCTTTCTTTCTTTCTTTCTTTCCCATCTTTTTGTTCTTTTTTTTACTCCTCCAATTTCTTTCTTTCTTTCTTTCTTTCTTTTTTTCTTTCTTTTCCACCTCATCTTTTTGTTCTTTCTTTTTTTACTCCTCCAATTTCTTTTTTCTTTCTTTCTTTCTTTTTGGTCTTTCTTTTCACCTCAATCTTTTCCATCTTTCTTTTTTTTCTCCAATTTCTTTCTTTCTTTCTTTCTTTCTTTCCACCTCATCTTTTGTTCTTTCTTTTTTTCCTCCAATTTCCTTTCTTTCTTTCTTTTTTCTTTTTTCTTTCTTTCTTTCCACCTCATCTTTTGACTTTTTCCTTTTTCCTTTTTTCTTTCTTTCTTTCTTTCTTTCTTTCTTTCTTTCTTTCTTTTACTCCTCCAATTTCTTTCTTTCTTTCTTCTCACCTTAATTTTTCCTTCTTTATTTTTCTCCTCGAACATCAGTCTTTCTTTCTTTCTTTCTTTCTTTCTTTCTTTCTTTCTTCTCACCTTAGTTTTTCCTTCTTTATTTTTCTCCTCGGACATCTTTCTTTCTTTCTTTCTTTCTTTCTTTCGTTTTTTCTTCTTCAGCCTGTCTTAACTCACTTCTTTCTTTCTTTCTTCAGTCTTTCTTTCCACATCAGTCTTTCATTTTTCTTGTCTACGTCTTTACTGACTTCATTTTTTCTTTTTGTTTGTTTTTTCTTTCTTTCTATCATCCCCCATAGCCTTTGCTTACTTTTTTCTTACTCCTCTCTCATCAGTCTTTCTACACTTCTTTCTTTTTAGCCTCCCAACAACAACTTCCACCCACACAATCCTATCATAAATCTGGAAATGTTCCGACCATTTTCCCTTAATTCTCTCCATTCATTTCCATATTCCACAGACCAAACCTCATTTTGTTTCTACAATTCCTCCCCCCCTCTTCATTCAAATCCAGATTTTAAAATCCAAATCAATGGCCTTGAAATAAACGCAAACCATTTTCCATCAGATCTAACATTTTGATTCCTTTTCCTTCTTCTTTATATTTCCAATATTCTACAGAGTTTAGAGATTTTTTCTCCTTCACCGTTAAAGACCCCCCCCCACACACACACACGCACAATCCACCACCACCGCACACTGCCCAAAACTAATCTGCCATCTTGAAGGTCAGGACAGAAATTAAAATGTGGGTTTTGAGTGGGGGGGAGGGGGTGATTGACTGACATCTTTTCCTATAGAAACTTACATGCAATTTTGATAGGTTCAGCTCATAATTAAATATTAATTATATTTTGTTCTGTATGCAATTTTTAAACTTAGGGATTATGGGAATTAGAGATATAATAGGCTAATATATTGGTTCAGTCACTGATGCATGTATTCATTTGTGAATCCTAATGATCCATTGCTTCCTCATATTCAATGCATTCCTATAGTAAAATCATTAGCAATGCATTTACATTATACATATAATAGCCCTATTCTATCAGTAATGCTTGCATTCATTCTGACCACTGATAATCCTTTTCCTATTTCCTCATTTCTATTAAAATCAATACCATTATATCCATATAATAGCCCGATTCTACTAGAAATACTTGCATTCATTCTTGTTCACTGACAATAATTTCTTCCTCATTTTCAATGCATTTCTATGTTAAAATTATTGCAATGCATTTCCATTATACATATAAAAGCCCTATTCTATCAGTAATGCCTGCATTCATTCCTGACCATGGAGAATACCTTTCTTCCTCATTTTCAGTGCATTCCTATATTAAAATCATTAGCAATGCATTTCTATTATACATATAATAGCCCTATTCTTCAGCAATCCTTGCATTCATTCCTGACCACTGACAATCCCTTTCCTTCTGATTTCCACTGCCCACCCTATAGATTAAATGGTGAAATGTGTTTGGCTGTTAGAAAATCTGCAATTTAATTGTTTGATAGCTATAATATTTGACAATACTGTATATATATATATATATATATATATATATTGGTATACCTTGGTCTAGATTGTTTCATGTTAAGTGGTTCTCGATTATGCGTTGTTTGTCCAAAAATATATGGAAAAATAAAAATCAAGTTTAAGTCATTTTATTCAACTTTTTGTCTGTCTGTCTCTCACAAATATTGACATCAAAATATCTCTAGATAAGTGTTAAAAGCACATAAAATCATGTCACATTAAGAATAAAAATATATAAAATCATATTAAAATACGTACATTTACAGTAAATGTTAATATAATCATCATAAATCCTAGAGAACAAAATATGAAAACATCTGTGACTCTGTGTTTTCTTATTTAGTGGTCTTTAAGAGCTCAATATTGGCGTTTTCATGGTAGTTCTCCAATATCACTCTATTAAGAAGCAAGGTGAAAGTGCATAAGCTGATGAACAAGCAGCAGCTGATTTTCCTAAAGCATTGGCTAAGATCATCGAAGAAAATGAGTTTCTTCCTGAAAAATTTTTTAATATTGATGAAACTGGATTATATTGGAAAAAATTGCCAGACCGTTCTTTCATTGCTAATGCTAAGCATAAGGCTATATTACTGATAAATTATTTTATTCAGAATACGGTATGTACATATAAATACTGTAATATGCAATATTTATATTTTATAGCATGGTTATGTCTGCATAGATGCCACATTTTTTAAACAGTGTGTATTACATCTACCACCCTGAAATAGTGAACTCCCAAACTAGGGTCAAAGCACTATGAAAGTATAAAAATACATTTTTATAGTGAAAACTAGCAGCATGGCAAAGCGTTCGTGCTTGATTCAAAATCAATTCTGTTCATTTACAGCAATCACTATTACTTGACTTAAAATATTTTGCCCTTCCTTGCCTTTAAAGGGGTGCCCTTTGCCATGCTGATGTTGCTACATGCCTTACTTCTTGCCTATCTCACACTAAAAATTTTTTTTAAGCTCTATACTAAACATTAAATTTGTTACAAAAAAAGAACTAAACAAAATGAACAAATTCGATCAGCTTTAAAAAAGGACTCGTAACTGGAAAAACCAAATGAAAAAGAATGTTAACAACAAATACTTTTTCACAACCCAGTTCTGCACAATCAGAATCAACATTGAGTTTAAGCATTTGAATGAGCCAATTGGAGTAAAGTGCCATGCAGATTTAAATTTTTCCCACAAAATGGACGAATGCAGCTATTTTTTTTTAGCATGCTAGTTAACATTCTCATGCTGGCCAATAGATTCTTCCTGCCTATTCATTGGCAGCCAGTTTTCAGCTCTCACTCTTGCCAGTAGAAAATGTCTTCAAACTACATGAAAACTGCCGTAGCCAAGCATGAAAAATTGATTATTTCCACTATCGATGGGAGTTGGGAATTTCAAAGTTGATCTTAGCCTTCCGCTAATTTGGAGCATGTGCATGTAAATTTTGGTGCAAATCCGTCAAAAATTGTGGCTGTGCATTTGTTACACACACATACACACACACATCCTGCCTTTTATAGATAGAGATACCAGCAATGCCTTTTCATAGTAAAAAAAAGTACCAGCAATACTTTAAAAAAATTTTTGTAAAGAAAATTACTAATGCTCCTAAGAAAATTAAATTTCAGCATTAAATGACCCATAAGGAGTTGATAAGTCGCTAAACAAACAAACAAACAAAAAAATCTACCGCCCTACACTCTCAAGAAAACTTAATGAAAATGTACTCTCTGGCAGAGTATGAACATGTGTACCCAGATTAGTAGAAGAAACCACCATCTGATCTGGCATATTTTAGACAGCTCTATCCCGGAGACTGTCACAGCAGAGCAAGGTGTCTATTTACTACTTTTAAGGGATGCATATTGTAGTAAAGTAATCAGGAGCAGTCTCCCTTGTTTTATGATTACCTCCCTTTGGAGAACTCTTTTGTTTGCAAAGGACTATAAATAGTCACTACGCTGGTATCAATTATTCTAAGCAGAATAAAGCTTCGTTAAGCCTATTCTTGCTCTCGTTTATTATTACACACGTTTCCTTGTTCAGATTTTCTTGAAAGCTCATACTGCTTAGTTTCGCAGCCAAAACATAAGCAAAGAAATTTATAAAAATTACTGGATTTATTTTTAATCTGATTTTTTTTTTTTTTTACTGCAAACATTATTTTTAGTGGATACCCATATTTGAGTAGATGCCCTGTACTTTAAACAGTGTGTATTACATCTACTGGCCTGCACACTCAAGAAAATGTATCAGGTTATTTACTCGAATACAAATACCCAGTAAAAAAACATTTAAAGTAATCCACATACCTGGTGTAACAGCAAAATTGTTCAAATCCTGTGACAACAAAATTATCCAATTGTTAGATTAAGCTTTAAGTGTTGATTAAGCTTTATATCTTAGAAATGATTAAAGATATCTTAATGGAATTCTCCAAGGTTTTTATAACACTATTGGACTCTAATTTGAGCAATAAGAATGTATAATTACTCTCCAATCTTAACAGAAGAATTGTGATGAAATTGATCATAAACAAAAATAACATGTTCATCATTAATTAATCATAGCTAAAGATGGAAAGCTCATGAAGGATTGAAATAATCTTCAAATATATGTATATTATTCCAGGATCATTTTTCAATTTATTCAAGATGATCTTCACCCTCTCTAATCGTCTAACTTTCTGTCCTGGAGTAACAAGATACCTCACATGTTTCATGTACAATTTCATTTTCAAGCCTTTTTTCCCTGCTCTTTGGATGGTCATAGCTGAAACTCCTCTATCACATGCTAAACATCTTATGGATTGAATTGGATCTTTTCTAATTGATCTCTTTAGCTCTAAGTTAAAATGATGATCCCTCTTGCTGTTGCAACCTCCTGATCCAGTTTTCCTCTCTACTGTTCCCTCTTTTTTAAAACTTATTCACCATTCTCTTGATGGTTCTTGAATGGACTTTGAAGATGGAAGCCAGAGTCTTTGAAGGCCTGAATGATCTTTTTCCTCTCACCATTGCTCAGTTGGGAAGACATTATAGGGCTGAAACAAAATGATTTTAACCTGTTCTCTTTCTAGCTGAATAACTCAAAGGGTTTTTCAATGATTCTTATGAAAAATGGTGTCAAGATGGCTAAACATCTCTGAAAACATGGAAAAAGAAACTCAATTAGTTTAGTGTTTTTTAGATATTAAACATTTTTTTGGAATGGACAATTATCCCATGCTCTTACATGATTTGGACATTTTTGCTGTTACACCTGATACATACAGGTGTGTGTGTGTATGTGTGTATATAGACAATATAAACATAGAAATCACCATGCAGTTTTGATTCCTATGTCCACACTGTGTGTACCTATCTCCTATATTAAGCACAATATCTCTATAAATACACTGAATTTTAAACAATATATATATATATAAAAGATAATTTGTCTAGATACCTGATAAGAACTCACGGTTGAAATCTGATTTGTACAGAATGGTAGAATATTTTCATTTTTTTATAATATATATTGTTTAAGTTTCCCTCTCTATGTTTTTTCTATAAATACTTTTATGGTAATTATTTGAATGAGGTCTTCACTATGATACCTATAGTTTTTGAATTTAAGCACAGTGGGAATCAGAGAGCTGAGCTGAAATTCCAGCTGACTCCATTACATTCACTTACGTGGTAAAAGCCTTGGGAAAGGTATGAATCCTCTTCTACTTCCACCAGCTATGGGTAAATAACAGGACAGACTGGGTTCTATAGCTTTGCATGGCAACTGGTCTACTGCAGAAAGAAATGTCAACCTACTGCGGG